GAGAGGGAGAGAGGGAGAGAGGGAGAGAGAGGGAGGGAGGAAGAGAGAGGAAGAGGAAGAGAGGGGAGAGGGAGAGAGAGGGAGAGGAAGAGAGGGGGAGAGGAAGAGAGAGGGAGAGAGGGAGAGAGAGGGAGAGGAAGAGAGAGGGAGAGGAAAAGAGAGGGAGGGAGGGAGAGAGAGGAAGAGGAAGAGAGGGGAAGAGGGAGAGAGAGGGAGAGGAAGAGAGAGGGAGAGGAAGAGAGAGGGAGAGAGAGGGAGAGGAAGAGAGGGGGAGAGGGAGACAGAGGGAGAGGAAGAGAGAGAGAGAGGGAGGGAGAAAGAGAGAGGGAGGGAGGAAGAGAGAGGGAGAGGAAGAGAGAGGGAGAGGAAGAGAGAGGGAGGGAGGAAGAGAGAGGGAGAGGAAGACAGAGGGAGAGGAAGAGAGAGGGAGGGAGGAAGAGAGAGGAAGAGGAAGAGAGGGAGAGAGAGAGAGAGAGAAGGGAGAGGGGAGGGGAGGGGGGGAGGATCCAGGGACAGGTGTCATTTTTTCTGCTTGTGGTCTGTAGTCTGCTGTCGTGGTGCTGTTAGACGTGACAGATGGAGGCTGAGGCTGGCGGAGCCCTGCCAGGGGCTCTGTTTTCAGCCCCGTGGTCTCCCATCTCTGCTCCCCATCCCCCCAGGCCTCCCCACCCCACACCCCCTCTCCTTCCTCCTCCTCCACCCACTCCCTTCCCAGCAGCCGTCCCCATTGTGGTTCTGCCCCACCCTGACACCAGCAGGAAGGAAGCCCTGTCCGGTCCCTGTGGCTCCCAGGGGACACTGGCTTGGGGTGGTGGCACCATGGCGATGTCCCATAGCCTTTGCTCCTGCACTGGTGTGTGCAGCCGTCTCTCTGCAGCACCATCAGACTGTGCAGGCGGCTGTCTCTGCGTGGGTGGGAGGCCTGCTGTGTCCCATCCCTGCACCTGCAGGCATCTCCCCATTTTCTCTTCTGGGGATGGCAGCCCCCAGGCCCCCTCTGCAGCTTATAGTGTAGGAGCGCAGATGTCAGTAGGACTCACCATACGGGGCGGAGGCACGGGGGCACTGAAATGGTGCTGCCGGGCTCCCTGGGCGGGGTGCAGCCTGTGGGAAACCCTGGCATCTGCACAGTCACTCCCGCCTCCTGGTCGCATCTGGGGGCTTCTCTGTGCCCCATACCCACCCATCCTCACTCTAGCAAGGCCACAGTTGTACCTCCCATCACCCCCAAATAAAACCCATTGTCCTCAGACACCCTAAAATTATGCACACCACCTTGGGCTGGCTGTGGCTTGGGAAACCCGATATCACAGCATAAAGCTTTCTTGGCCTCATCCTGGATAGAGTGGTTTAGAAAACGTCAATGAGTATGGTCTCGGTTTGCCATAATTATTCACAACCCCTGACTGGACAGGGTGAGTTGCCACTGGAAGAGCAAGCTGGTGTGCTTGAGGGAGGGTGGCTGAGGCAGGCGAGTCTTGAGGAGGAAGCATGGGGTGGGGGTAGGGGTTTGTCCTTTCAGCTTCCTGGCAGGGATGCCAGAGCTCCCCACTGTGCCGGCGGTGGTACACATGGACTTGGCCAGCTGCAGCCGCTCCACCCCTCACAGTTGCTCTCCCCTTCTCTCCAGTGCAGACAGCAGCTCTGAGGAAATCATGCAGATCGACGTGGAGGTGGAAGAGCCCAGTGACCCTCCAGCCACGCAGCTCGTCACGTGGCAGGTGGAATACCCTGGAGACATCACCTCTGACCTGGGCGTCTCCAAGATCTATGTGCGTCAGAAGGACCTGGTTGGAGTGGTGCCGCTGGCCATGGTAAGGTGGGTGGGGAGGAGAAGCTGCAGGCAGCCAAGGCTGAGGAGCCCATGCAGTGCTGGGAGCCAGGCCAGGGATTTCCCGCCAGCGCCACTCTGACGCCTCTTGCAGGCAGCATTCTTACCCTGTTGTTTGAAAATGCTCGAGCTGCAGGTGTTAGGTGTGGCCCTGGCTTTGTGCAGAAACTGTGGTTCTGTGAGCAGTGTGACTCGCCGTGCGGGCGCTGTGGGATCCAGCCACGGGGAGCTGGGGAAGCTGCCCTCTGAGGGGAAAGCAGGCGGCGTGCTGGCAGAGGCCGAGCGGGCTGTCCTCCACACTCGGCCCCAGGCTCGAGCGCCCGGGCCCGGCTGTGTGTCTGCTGCTCCATGCCTCCCAGGGCTGCCCGCAGCCAGAGTCTCTGCTCCTCAGCCGTGCACACCGCCCCTCGTGATCTGCAGAGACTGGGTAGAAAGCACAGTGATGCACAAGGGCACTGTCAGGATAAGCAAGGACCCCTGGCCCGGAGGGTGTGTTGTCACTTGTCCAGGGAGGCTGGGAAAGGGGAGGCCAGCACGGGCCAGACACACACAAGGGTGGCCGAGGTCACAGCGGCGGCAGAGCAGAGAAAGAGCCGTTCAGAGAGACACTGGTGGGAGACACAGCACCTCCCTGGACACTGGTCAGGAATGCGAAGGCAAGACCGGAACAGACGCTGTGTCCTAGCCGGGGGTCCCTTCCGCACAGCTCCGCGACACCATATGCTGCCTGGACATTTAGGCGGTGTGTTTCTATTAAAAAAGATATGAGGGCTTTCCCCCCGTATGGCTATCTTTGCAGATATCCCTGATGGAATCCTGGAGTTGATAATTTAGATATAAATTTGAATCCAAGGACTGGAATCCAAGGACCACAATATTGTAATTCCTTTTCATAACGGTGGCCAAATTGCCTTTTAGAAGGTTGAACTAATTTACAGTCCCACCTGCTGTGGGTGATGCTGCGCCTTCCCCCGTGCCTTGGCTGATGCAGAATATTAAGATTCTTTAAAAATAGATGATTGATTAGGTAAAAATTATAGCTCAGCGTTGCTCTAATTTGTCATTCGTAGCGTACGTTTTTATTTATTTCTTCATTAAAGATTTGCGCTTTGCTCATTTTATTTTTCTCCTGGTAATTCGGCTGGTTATGACTTTGTTATCTCCTTTCTTTAAAATGTGTTGGCTGCTGGGGCCTCACTGACCGCTTGGGCTCGTAGTGATCCTCCTGCTTTCAGCCTTCCCAGCGCTGGGGTCACAGGCATGCGCACCACGCCTGGACTCTGGCCAGCTCTGGGGGCGGGGTGGGCGCAGCCTGTGGAGCTGGGGATCGAACCTCAGTCCCCGCACTTGCCGAGGCAGGGGCCTAGTGGGCTGAGCTATCTCGCCCGCCCTGTTATCTCCTTTACCATAGAAAAAACACATACTGTTGGTTCACCATCTTAAGCATTTTAGGGGTACCACTTGGTGGCAGTAAGTATGGCCACGTTCGTGGGCTGCTGCAGAACTAAACCTCGACCCTGCTAGAGCCAGTGCCCTGCTCCCCAGGCCCTGGTGACTGCAGCCTCCTGAGGCAGGCTGACCTGTGTGATCCGCACAGACGTCCCTTCCCCGCTTACCCTGAGCCTCTACCTTCCCTGAAAGTGTGTTTGAACATGCAGGAGGTTTCCCCGTCTGCTTAATTTTTTATGTGGTCAAATCTATTGATTTGTTTTTCCAAAATCAGAGCCCTTCCTTGCCTCTAATTATGTCCAAGAGGAAAAAGCCACACCTATTTTTATTGTTCTTGTATGATCTCCAGATAGTAAAATATTCCGAGCAGGCACATCCGGGTGAGAGGCCTATGACCTTCACCAAGTGGCACCGGACACGGGGAGCGGGGCGGCCACACCGTGAGGGACACGGATGCGGCGGCGGCCAGGCCCGTGGTTTTCCATCTGGCTGGGGCTGACTCCTCCTGTGAGGGAGGTCCGAAAGGAGCCGCTTTCGCGGGATGCCAGGGCCTTGGTGGCGTTTGTACTTTCTTAGCACAATCCTACTTTTCTAAGAGTCTCATCACATTTGTTCTGCTCAGGGAAGGTTTCATTGCTGTGTTGCAGGTAAAGCGTGTCTCCTCAGGGAGGAAGTGCCGAGGCGAAGGTCCTGAGGTCAGCGCTGCTGCGCTGGGCGTCGGTCCGTGCCCGCCTCACTGCGGGCAGCGGTGCCTGTCCTCACAGGCTGACCCCTCGCTCTGAGCAGAGCGCTCGCGGGGCCAAGGTGCTGCCCCGGGGCTTTGTGAGACAGGATTCTGGGCTCAGATGGCAGTGCCAGCCTGCGCCGCAGCACACCAAGCCCCCAAACCAGGCCCTGTGCGCGGACACCACACGCATGTTATCATGCCTTTGGGGAAGAGCCTTCCGAGGATACAGCTGCGGCCACTGGCGTCTGGGGTGGGGTGAAGTGCCACCTTGGGACCCAGGCAGCTGGACCTCACCCACAGCGCTTGGAGACAGTCACGGCACTGCCTCACCCCGAGGACCGCGGGCGGAGGTGACGGCACGAGGTGTTTGCAGTAACACTGAGGAGGCTTGGCACGGTCCGGGTGGCCACAGGGTTTTTACGCAACAATGAAGGATCACATGGGCCGCACACTCTTCCCGTGGGTCCTGCGTCTTGCTGTCACCCCTGGGCATCTCGGCACACCTTCCTGGCAGATCTCAGAGCCCTTGCCCTGCCTCTGCCCCTTGGGTGGGAGTCTGCCGGTATCCCCACCTACGGGCCCCCTTTCCCTGGCCTCCCAGTCCTTCCCCCTTTCCTCTTATTGTCTCATCCCGCCTAAACCCACCTGATCACCCACTTCCCCAGGCTGAAGCCACCACATGGCGCCCTCCACACACAATCATCTCTGCCCAAAGGCCTCATCCTCGGTAGCAGCGGCCGGGCCCCCACAGCCGGGACATGCACGCGGTGCTACCGGGGGCTCTCGGCTAGTCCTGCCTTCTGGTGGGCAGGTGCTGAGTCCCACCCTCGTGCAAGGCTGGGTGGCCAGCAAGGACACCATCCCTGCTCCCCCACGCCCTTGCCCCTGCCTCCTGGGTTTCTGACTGAGGCGTGGCCTCCCAAGCCAATGACTCAGTAGGATTAGGGCCTTCCCTGAGCCACAGACAAGTGGCCTGCGCTCTAACGGGCAGGCAGTTTGCCATTATAAGCCTTCTGATGCAAGACGCTTCCCATGGGTCCTGCTGAATCCAGCATCTTTCTCTCCTAAAATGAATCGGGCACCTCTGGGACACCCATGCCGCCTGGCCCCGGCAGAGCCCGCAGGTGCCCTGCTCTGGTATCCCCTGGTCCACGTCCCTCCTGGTCCTGAGACTGCCCTCAGCCCGCACCCTCTGTGTTCTGTGCCCAGGCGGCCACAGTAGCAGCCCTCGGTCAGTGCCCAGTGAGGCTGCTGAGCCCGCCTCCTCGCCTGCCGGAAGAGGACCCTCGGAGAGGGGGACGCATGGCTGGCGTGCAGCATTTGCCCAGTCAGCCTGGTCCTATGTCACCCACCAGGTGTGAGGTGGAAAGCTGCCCTGGCTGGGAAGGACTCGCCCTCCCCGGCTCCAGTGATCAAAGTTCCTTTGTTCTGAGCTCTCTCTCCTTGACTTTTCAAGGGATTCTTCCATCGTGCCAGCCTCGTAATTAATATGCCAGATGTCCTTCTGTTGTTTTCTCCGACTTTTTGAAAATTCAGTCACACTGCAGAGCACATTACCACCTTCATTTTCTTATTTTCTCGACCAAATGCAAATTAGGGCAGCAGAGTCCTTGAGGACAATCTCCTCTCCCAGCACCGCTTTCCTTTGCGCGCATGTGGAGTGACCCAATCACTGCTCCTAAGACGCCAGGCTCCGTGGCCAGGACTCCCTTGCTTACATTAGCTCCACCGTTGTCACAGCAGCCAGGGCACCGGGGTGCCACCCGACCCCATTTCCCAGGTAGATGGGGCCCTGGGGGCCTGTAGTGCGGCCCCCACTGCTCAGCTGAGGTGCCCAGCTTGGCTCAGATGCCGGTCAGAATCCTGGTTCCTGCTCTGAACCTGTCCACTGTGCCATTCTGATCCATGAGACCAGAGACCGTGGGCTGCTGCCTGACGCAATATGCAAAACCATGTTTGGAAAATGCTAATCTAAGGCGCGAGCTCATGAAAATGAAGTGGCGAAGTTGTATGGAAATAGGAGAAGCCATCTGCAGCGGCGCTCTGTATTGTGCACACAGCCTCTGCGCTGCGCTCCGGTCCCTGCCTCCTCCCCCACCCCGCTGCCTTGCTTGCTCCCTAATGAGCCCCCTCAGGGACTGGCACTGAGATGGCAGTGGCTGGGGCGCCATGGCTTGGCAGGTGCCCGATACCAGACGGACGCACAGAGCCACTGCTCTTGGTGTCCCTGGCTCTCTGTGGGCTCGATCCTCAGCCAAGCAGGAGGCGTCCCAGAGTCCCACCGAGTGCTCCCACTGGCCTCTGGTGCAAGGATCCAGGTGGCACATGACCTGCCCCGCAGGGGCAGCCAGGGATGATGGGAGAAAAGCTGCTGCCCATGCAGACAGGGACACCATGGCCCATAACGGGCCCAGCTGGGAGGCTGAGAATGGGGAAAAGCTCAGGGTACCTGGGGACAGGACAGGTGGCTGCCCCAGGAGGTGTGGCCAGCGCCAGTAGCTGCCTGGCCAGGCACCTCCACATATCAGCCCTGGTGTCCAAAGCACCATTCTGATCCAAGATATTTCTGTCTGATCCAGTGGAGGACCTGTTGTTAAAATATGGGTCTGAATGTCAGAGGAGAGCATCTTTGGGGCAGGAAAACAGCCAGCAGTGGAAAGCGACCTCTCTGGAGGCCTGCTGGCCAGTGCACACTGTCAGAAGGGGTGCCAGGTCAGGCCAGGCAGTGGAGGGTGACAGCGAAGGTGCTGGCCGTTCTGAGGATGAACGTCCCGTGCAGAGCCAGGGCGAATGGCGGTGGGCTGGAG